TAGTCTCGTGTGAACATGGGTTAAATGATGTAAAACGTGAATGAGAGAGAAAAGCCTCTAACTTGGTCACATCGAGCCTAAATTGAGTAGCATCAAGCCTAAATCGAGTAGCATCGAGAATGATCATGATAGAAGTACTATGCCTAGATGATGCCAAATGCCATTTCATTGACGTCGAACGTGAGTCAAGTAGAGACTCTTTATCTAAAATGGGGCTAAGCGTGGGTTTAGCCATGCCAAGCGTGATTGTCACAAGAGCCCTCTACCTCATTCATGTTAGGCGCGGGTTTAGCCACACCAAGTGTGATTGTCATAAGGGCCCTCTGCCTCATTCACATCGAGCATGGGTTGAGTAGCATCGGGCCTGGGTGAGCTCTAGAGTTCTCTACCTCAATAACACCAAGAGCGGGGAGAATGGTGTCGAGCGTGTGTGTTATTTTCTTGATAAAATTGTGAACATGTATAGGTTAGTTAAATCTATTACATGTTGTACATTGATATATGTTGTTGGCTTTATATACATTAATCTAGGATAATGTATATAAATGATTCTATTGTTAAACTATTGAGGCGATGGTGTTAAGAATACTTAAGACATTGAGGCATGTTATGTTGATTGACTTAGAATTAGATGAGAGGATATTTTAGAATGTTGGATATTCTATCGTGAGGGTATTGTTGTAGTGTTCTACGAGCCTAGTTATTGAAAATCCTTCTTAAGTAGTTGGTTCTTGAAATGAATAGTTGGGTCTCTTATAGGACCTTAATTGATGAGGTATATGGGTAAGGTCGAGGCATATCAATTATAAGTGGCCAAATATAAGGGTCAAGTCAAGTTATATTGATTACAAATGGCCAATGTTGATCTGTATGTAGGCAAGATAGAGACATACGTGTATAAAATGACCAAAACGAGTAAGGTACAAGGTTGGAGACCAAAATGCCTAACTAAGTACTAGAAGGGCATAGTATTTGAAGGGCAGAGACTAATTCCATAGGTGGCTTAATTATGCAAGTTAATATCTTGGTAGGCTCACACAAGTTGTTTTACCCTAACAAAAATACTAGACTTCCTAGTTTAAGTGACAAAATTTGAGAAACCATGTTGTTATGGATTAGTATTCAAATTGGCTATTGATTTAGGAAATATAAAAAAATCGTGTTGATTTGGTAGGATTAAGCCATATAAACTACTCAACATTATTTATGAGATCTCCTTAGTTGGATATATGATGACGCATTTAATTGAGGCCCCTAGAGGCACATCCACCTCTCACGCTAAGTGTGAAAACTCATGCTTAGCCTTAGCCACATTAAGCGTGAAATCTCACGCTTAACCTTAACCTTACAGAGGCACTTCCCAATTCTCATGTTGAGCATAAGAAATCATGTTCAACCCCAAAAACCCATAATTGTTTGCATCAATGAAGAGCATATCCGAATAGCCATGAACACCACCCACCCTTCAAATCCTCTCAACTTATGAATAATTCATGCATACAACCCAAAAATCTGCCAATTTTAACAACATGCAACTCAAAATTCAAGGAAAAAAAGAACATGCATTTGCATTCAATCCTTCATCACCCTAAATTCCTCCATATTCTCAAGAAACCCAAATTCCAATTTCAACATGCAAACGATTTCAATAATTTCCAACCAAGATTAAGCTTTATAGAACAGTGAACAATATATCAAACAACTCCTACGACAATTGAATCTAGTTTTTCTTAGGTTGATTTTGAACTTCCGAAGCGAAGAGAGGAAAAAGAGGAAGAAAGGAGCATCTGACCTTCAAAGCTCTACATTTGGACAAGCCAAACACTACACCACTAATCTTAGTTTCCCAAGTTTCAAGAACACTTAAAAAAAAAAAAAAAAAAAGCTTCCAACAACAATCTACATCTCTTGTGGACTAAAACAAAGAAGAAGAAGATTCATAATCTTAACTTGAATTTTTCTCACCAACAATACCCTAAAAATGATATTTGACTCCTAATATTATACTTATATTAAAAGTTTAATAGTGTGATTTAGATATTTAAAATATTTATTTATTATATGTGTATTACACATATTAAAATATTAATTTATTATAAATTTTATTTTAAAACAAATCTTTATAGTATCAAAGACGGTTAAAATACTAATTATAAATATGACTTCACTTTATTCCGTGTAGTTGAAAGGGAAAAAAAAACACACACACACGTCATCAACATATTATTTCATATTGACACGTACGCAGGAAAAAAGTGAATAACATGGATTCATTCATTTTCCAAAGGATCCACATATTTTGGATGCCACCCTTTTGTGGGGAGGAGAGATAGTATATTATATAAATAAGTATCTTAATTTTATATGAAATATGGAGTTAAAATTTCATTATTCTTTTTCTTGACGAAACTAATCAAACGAAGGAAGGATTTGTTTAATATTAGATGATACCCAACGAGGAGGGTTAATGGATCCTCCACTTAATGTTTGTTCTATTGTTTCATTTATCATATTCTTTTAACTTCATTATTGTATCATTTAATATAAATTTACTTTAGAGGAGTTCTATCCCGGATATAGATAACCACGCAAACTAATTTGACATTAATTTAAAGAGTAAAGTTTTTCCTCATGAAATGATATGAATTCAAGAGGGTGACTTTCTTACAAGAGATCTTTAATTCATACATTAATATACAAAAATGTTAATATAAATTATATATATAAAATTTATTTAATATATATTTGCAAAATTTTAATATTAATTTTAAATAAGATTTTATTAACATATTTTATATTTTGTGTAATTATGAATTATATTTATATTTTTTTTAATAATATATCAACATATATTATATTTCTAAGATATGTATAAGTAATTTTTAATGATATCTATTGTGTCATTATAAGATTTGTGTCACTATATAACAATTTTTTAAATATAATTAATTTAAAACCAATAAGTAATTATAGAGGGTTTTTTTTTATTATTTTTTTTAATGTTTTAAGTAATTGTATATTGAGATAACACAATAGTTTTGTCTGAAATTTTCGCACACAACTAGCAACAGCTAGCCTTTTCTAAAAGAATATAAACGTACTTTGATCCATCACCAATGTTTTATTCTCAATTTAGTTCCTTTTAGCAACTATTGTTTATATTGGTTCTTGAAGTTAAACAACTTCATAATATCATTAGAAGAATAAAATGAGTTCTTACTGATATTAGCAAATACAAATATTGTTTAACTGTAAAAAAAATCCAAGTCAAAATGAGAGTTTTTGAGTGAATAGAGAGATAAAATATAGGACTCGTTAAAAATAAGTTAACAACGCAAGTTATCTTTTTCTTTGAAAAGAAAATCAAGAAGTCGGATTTTTTTTTCTTGAGGAAAAAAAAAAAAGAACTCAAGTTGGACTTTATTATTGGAACGAAATTGTGAAAATTAGTGATTGCTCTTAAATTTACATGACAAATAAAAGATTCACCGAAAGAGAATTAAGAATCCAAATTGAATTCTTATATCGGAGATATAATAATAATAATAATAATTATTATTATTATTATTATTATTATTTTTAATTGAGGTCAAAGTTAATTCAAGGATACTAAATTAGAGAAAAAATATATGAGGAATTAAATTGATTATAATAAAAATAGTGACAGACTACAATAAGGCTTTTGAGGTTTGTCTATTAAAAATTATAACACACATATAATCGGGAGAGCACAAACACATGTTTTATCTTTGTAAAAAATTATATTAAGTGTTTAAAATAATGTGATTGGGTATTTTTGTTTGGTGACTATTTAATTTAATGTATGAATACGTGAACCATTTTTTATTTATTTTTTGAGCAGAAAATGTGAACCATTTTTGAAATGCTATAAGAACCATTTTATTTATTTTAGGACACAAACCAACCAACAAAAAAGTGGCCTATAAATTGGCCCAATTTGACAAGAGGTAGAAGGGTTACATGGCCCAGAGGTTTTTGGGCATGGGATGGTGGTGACTACTCAATTATGGTTTTATGGGGCTCGCTTGTAAAACCAGTCATAAAAAGCAAGGACAAATACACGAAACTTGCTATAATAGATGAAATTCTTTGTGCACCATAAAGACCACTAATAACTAGAACCAGGAATTCCAAGCGTGTGGTTCATCAGTAAGGATTGATCCATGCTTAAGTAAGGTTAGGGGTTTGAATGCTGCCTTGTGTATGTAGCCACGTTAAATTTTGGGGTCAGCTATACTACCTTTTAAGGTATCTTCAACATAGGGAAAAAATTAGTCACACCTATCAGCTTTAGATACTCAAAGAACGAACAAGAAAATAAATGTATCATAAAGATTAAAAACATTTAACTTTTAAGGAAAAAAATTATGTACGGAGTCAAAAAAAAATATAGATAAAACAAGTTTATTGATTTTTATAACAATTATTTTAGAAGTCATATCAACAATTATTTTTTATTCGTTGGTAGGATAATTTTCTTTTATATATAAACAAAAAAATCTAGAGCATATAACCAATGAAACAAACAAAATTATACAAATACCCTATAAACTAAAAAATCTACAAAATTATTTTAATTTTAATCGATAACTTTTACTTTATAACACCTTTTACATTATACTAATGAAAAAGAACTATTAAAACATATTAATATTGTAAACATTTTTACACTCTTGTTCAATCATAAATTGTTTAAATATGTTTGTAGTTTTTAAAAGTTTGTTAGTTTTTCCTTCAAGTTCCCTCAACAAAATTTTCACTAATTTTAGTCTTTAAATTTTGTAGATTTTCAATTTTACTCTCCAAACTCTTCTTTTCGTTAACATTTTCGATTTTTCACATAATTTTTTTTTATAGAACAAGATCAAAAGTGAAAATTGTCGTAGAGTAATATTATTGATTTCCATAATACTTTTTTTTTTAGTAATAATAAATTAATAATAATTACTTTACTTATTGAAAAGAAAAAAAAAAAAAACGGAAGACACTAGAGTGCACTCAGGTAGCCCTAGCTCTGAACAACACAACACAACACAAGACAGTTTTGGGTTCTTCTATGTTGTTGATCTGGTGTGCACTTCTTCTTTTTCTTCACTACAGCGTTGTTTTTTTCTTTGCCCAAACACCAAAACCGCTTCATTCATTTCCCCAACTGAGTAACCAACTATTCCGTTGTACAGAACAAAGATGGTGCAGTGGCAGAGACACATTTTCCCCTTTCTTCGCCACATTCGCAAGGGAGTTGTTGACGCCAATCATTCTTCTCCCAACCTTGTAATTTCTCGCTTAGCCTCTTCTCTTTCACAAGGTTACCACTTTTCTCTCTTCCCCTTTTCTGTTTTCGCCTTTCTCATCTCACTTCGTAAGCATAAACCCTTGTTTGGTGTTGTAGGTCAGTTAGAGAGGAGGGCGTGTACGACCCCTTTTCCCTGGTTCTCAAGGCCCATTTATCTCGCTTTCCAACTTCGGGTAAAAAAAATGTGTTTTGATTGCTTGATCATTGTTGAAGGAAAACTAAATGACATGTTAAATCGATTTCTCACGCTGAAACATGTGTTGCAATGTAAGATTTTTGGTTGGAATTAATTTTGGCAAGGAAAATGTTTTGTGGACACCCATTTGGGTGTTTATATCCCATGATAGGAAAAAATGGGAGAGAGAGAAGTGATTGGTGATATGATGTGATGATGTGAGAGGAAAAAGAAAAAGAGCCTCACTTTTGAACGAGTGTGTTACTTATAAAAACTATTCACGAGCTTTCACATATTAGCTTAAATTTTTGGATTAGTTGGTCATCAACAAAATCATGGTTTTGGGTAACTTGGTGCATAAATTTTTTGTTTGGTGGGTGAATGGTCATGGCAATTTCCGCAAGAGCCTTCTTCCTCTTGGCGTTAAGTTATTTCTCGCAAATATGGTATGAGATGAGTCAGAATGGGTGGATGCCAATCTGGTGCTCACTGCCACTCATGGTAGACCTTGGAAATTTATTTAGTTTTGATATGATGTTTTTCTTCCTCTGGTTTCCATAAATTTGGAGATTGTTCTCATATTTGATCTGGGGAAGATATTTGGGCGGGTGGCTTCTATATCATTGAGGTGTTTACTTGGTAATCTTAATCATAGCAATATTCAAGATTTCTGATCTCTCTTCTAGAATTTGTCAATCTTTCATCTATTACAGTTAGGAGATTATTGGCCTTCTAGTGGTTTCTCTAATAATTAATTCTTTCATTTCTTAACTTATCTCCTAATTGAGAAAAGCTCACCATTGATAAATTTATTTGGAAATCCAAAGTTCTTTCTAAGGAGAAGACTTTTTTTCCTTTTGTTCGGACTGCTGTATTGAATCGAATCAATAGTAGTGATTTGTTGCAGATTTGGCTACCTAAAACGGCAATCTCCCTTGATTTATGCCTTATGTGTGTAACCAATTCTGTTTTACATATACATTTGATTTTATGTTGCCTGATTGCCAATTTATTTTATAGAATAGGCTGTTTGGTGGTTGTGGAGAATATTGGGTTTTTCCTGACTCCCGACTCTAGAGACTTTATGACAACAAGGTTTAAAGGGTTTGAACGAGAAAAAGAGGTTAAGAATTTGTGGAACGGTGTTGTGGTTGCTTTCCTGTGGTGTATCTAGTTGGAGAGGAGTGCTTTGAATTCTCAAGGTGTTTTGATGTCTTAACAAATGTTTTGGGAAAAAATGTTTTTGGCTTCTGTTTGGTTCTAGACTCATGGTTCTTTAAGTGAGTTGACATTCCAGATTGGCATAGAGATCAGATTTCCATTGTGCACTGTTATTCTCGAGTTCTGTTTTACTGGTTCTTTGTAATTTTTTCTTTAATTAGTTTTCTTGTTGAGGATATCTTATCCTCCTTTTTTTTTTCTAATCTCTTTTATGTCAAAACAAAATTACCTTCACGACAATTCTTCTTACTGCTTGCTAAATTGTGGCCAACTCATTTTTGGACTTTGTGATCATTCTTAATTATGTTTAAATATTTAAATATACAAATTTGTTCATATGTATATCCAACTCACCAAACTACAACCTTGGGGCATACTGAGCTAGTGTATAAATAATATGATTTTATATCTCTGCATTGTGGTTGCTACTCTAATCATGCCCTCTTAATTTCATCTTTGTCTTTTTATTACTTGAGTATTTTCATTTCAGGGAATTTCAAGTTCTACTTGGTTGCTGGCAAATTCATCTGAAGAAACACCTATTTCGTCACCTTTAGTCCCAGTTTCATTGTTGGGTAGTTCAAAAGGTGAAGACCAGAAGCAGAAAGCTGTTACTAAGCCAGAAAATGTTCAAGCGGTACTAAAGGGAATAAAGCAGGTTTGAGATGCCTTATATCTGATCATGATTGATTGCCTTTTGTTTCCATATATGCTTGAGTTGATTTTTTCTTACATTGATTAAGAGCATGCATGTTAAACCTGAAAAATTATACATTGAATGTAGTTTGTTTGAAAAGAGTCTAATTTTAAGTGCTGAAAAGTGCATTACAGAAAAGTTATTTAGGGTCTGTTTATGTAAACTTCTCCTAAAGCACTTCTAGTAGAGCAAAATAAGAAAGAAAAATGAAATAAGATTCTTCATAAGCTAAAATTAGCTTGTGCATAAGCTATTTTGTAGAAGCTTTCTCCTATTAGCTTCTCCAAAATCTTATTTTTAACTCTTGCATAAGCCAGTTTTAGCTTATGGAGAAGCTTATTTTGATTTTCCTTCCTATTTTTTTCTTCTAAAAGTGCTTATGAAGAGCCATATCCAATCAGGCCCTTAGTATGCCAAACATGGGAAAACCAATGGAACTAATATCATTTAATAAGTTAAATAAGGAAATAGATGCTGCTTTATTCATTCAGCACAATGCATGTGCTGAATGTATTAATGGCATATTTTGCTAAAAAAAATATATTCAGTTTTTTATATGCTTTGGGATGGCTATAAACTGTCACAGATAGTTGGAAAACACTGGGAAGTGCTGGAAATGTTGCCGGAGAAGGTTTTTTTTTTGTCAGAAAAGGATAACAATGGGTGCTATTTCAGAACCTGAGTGCATCCAAGTGACTGGGAAAATAAGTTTCAGTTCTGATTCAGAGGGGGCAAAATCCAAATTGCCCCTAAAACGCCCTAAATGTCACCGTTTCATGGTCAGAATAGTTTTTTTTTTTTTACCCACTCCAGCAGTTCCCACTTTAGCCGCAATCACAGCCGTGATGGCTGATACTTCAAATTGCAATACTATTCAATCCATGTAGCATGCTCCAGCCACTCTGCAATGCAATTCCATGATAGCACTGCTATTTGACACTATTGACAAACCTAAAAATTGCAACAAAAGAAACACAGCTTTTAACTTTATAAACAAATTAAAATAAAAAAGTTTATAAATTAAACTAATTCTACTGTTCACTGTTATGGAAACTTTTTTTCTCCTTTAAAACAATTTTGAGAGGGAGAATATAAAGTAAAAGAATTGGTTGTACTCTGTTGTGTTGGACTGGACTTTCCCCATACTTTTTCATCTCTCCAATTGTAACTGTAACTGTAACTGCCACTGCCAAATTCAAGAATGGAACTCTCAGATCGCCACCTTTTTATGCAACAAAATAGCAGCGGCACATCTTTACATCTTTATTGAATATATCATTTCAGATCTGCCATATAATAATGATAATAACAGCAAACATAAATGATGCACTCATACACTCTTTTAAACAATGCTTATATTTTCAACAAAGCTAATAAAGTGCAGACCGCAGACAATGAACCAGTAATAATGCAAATGCTGGTTGATAACTTCTCTGCAGCCATACACCTCCGAGTTTCCTTTCTAGTATAGATTTTTAGCCCAAATTACTTGAATTAAATTGCTTCAAGACAACAATCAGCAGCTTTAATAATATGCTCAAATACTCGTTTCATACAGATTGTGTATAAAAATATTCAATGTAGATTTTCTACCAACATACATTCATTCAGGTACTTAATTTCCAAGTTCTATGAACATTCATTGCATAGACCACAGATTCACACTTAGATTAAGCATCATAGCCCTACAAAGGGGGGTTAGGGTTCAGGAGATTTGAATTGAAATTTTATTTTGGAGCCGATGTTGAATAAGATGCAATATCAAAAAGGGGGTTCAGGAACTAGTGTACGCAAGAATTGAAGAAAGCCTTTATCTGATTTCTAATACTAATGAGAAACAGGAGGGGTTTGGTTTGGATATTATGAGTAACCTCCTTGTTTTGCAAAATGGTTAAAAGATTTAAGATTTGTCATAAAATTAAAAATTATCTTGGTTTCAGAATTGGATTGTGAAAGCCACCTTCTAAGAGTGCGGTTTGCATTGGTTTATGGTGCAGTTTGGCATATTTGATTATTCTGTACACCTATTTTCACACTTTTCAGCATCGGCAGCTGGTACAATTCCACTAGCACCCTTGCTCCTCTTTCTTCTTATGCCTTTGTAATAGGAGGGTGGCCAACACTTTTTTAATTCATATTTAATGTTGAAACTTTTTAATTCATTCTGATATCAAATTATCAAATTGTCCTTAATTTTGAAATGCTTTACTTCATGTACCGTTCATGTTTGTAGTCATTTCAGATGAAACTGCTTATAATTCAATCTTGCATTGATTTTTGGGATGTCTTAACTATTTTTCTGTTCATGATATATTGTTTTGTCCAATGTAGATTTAACTACTAAAAATTGAATGTTGCACTAATTTTTGAACTGCCATGTCATGTGCTTTGGTTATGGTTTAGTAAAGTTTCTTATATGCATGATTCAAATTTGTGATTAAAATTCAATATTACACTAGATGTTTTAAAATAGTTTTTTCCTTAAACCTTTTTTCTGAGACTCTTGGTATGTGAAAGTCACATTGAGATCTAACTAATCAAAGTCAGGTTAGGTGGACCCATTTAAGGGGATAAAGTTTTCCCAGTGCTTATTTTTCATATTCACAAGGCTCAAACATCTAAGATCTTATTTATAGGAAACTAAACTTTTCACTTGGACCAGCTTTGATTTTTGGTGTTATCTTTTATTGAACATTTATTTTATTTAAATTTAACATGCTAATCACATTTCTACTATTCATGTTAAAGTATATTCAGCGTAGCAATTAAAAGTATCACAAGTATATTCGGCTTAGCAATAATACGAGTATTGAAAAATTACATTGCTTTGTTTCATATGTGTGATTCCCCTGCCTAACTACTTGTTAACAAAATTCTGTGTAATTTTAATCAGCATGTAACAACTTTTGCAGAAAAGTTGGGATCTAAACTTTTTAGCCAATGAAATGCCTTCCCTGGTTTGCTGTGGAAAATTATTGTTTAATAAGGGTCTGATTCATATATGACTGGTTACACTTTTTACGTACCGTGTTTTCAATGGTATTTTAGAGTCCCAAGAAGGTCAACTTGGTTGCTGCTCTGGTTCGTGGTATGCTTGTTAAAGATGCATTGATGCAGTTGGAATTGACAATAAAACGAGCTGCAAAAACTGTATATCAGGTAGTCACACTTGGTATTTTTAATTGTCACCTCAATTAATGCAAAAGTAATCATTTTTATTGTTTTCAAAGTTCTGCGCATGCATCAGATTTTGATAATTTATTTTCTCCCCCATCTTTCTTCCCTCCCCCAGCTCTTTTCCATTTTGTCATTGATCTCAAGAGCCAGGTTTTCAAAGAGGTTAATTATATAGATTTTTACTTGGACATTGTCCTGACAATGAACAAGAAGAAATTGGAAATGCATTTCCTTGTTAGATTTAATTTTGCTTTATGCTGGTATTTTTAACAAAACAATTTGTAATAAATTCAGATTTGAGGTATGTTTGATTTCAGTGGAGGAGGAAGGCTATTCTATTAATCTTAAAATCCTACATATTGCAGGTTATTCATTCAGCCCGAGCAAATGCTTCTCACAATCATGGGTTAGATCCAGAACGTCTCATTGTTGGTAATATTTTGAAGTTCATAATTATTATAAGTGAAATTGTTTTGTCACATGATTTAACGTAGAATATTATACTATTGTTTAGGATCTTTTTGGATAAACTTCTCCAAAAACATTTTTATGAGAAAAAAAATATGAACAAAAATCGAAATAAGCTTATCCATGAGTTAAAACTAGCTTATTCATGAGATAAAAAATAAGATTTTGGAGAAATTAGTTAGAGAAAGTTTTTACAAATTAGTTTATGCATAAACTAATTTTATTTTATAGAGAAACTTATTTCATTTTTCCATTCTAAAAGTACTTATGGAGAAATTTAACCAAACATATTCTTAAAATTCATGTCATGTAGCCAATCTCATCTAGTGGGAAAAGGACTAGTTGTTTTATCTCTGATGATGCCGGGATCTTGTTTCATACAGCGGAAGCATTTGTAGGAAAAGGTAATTTCAAAAAGAGAATTTGGTACCATGGCAGGGGAAATGCAGGGATCAGAGTGAGAGCAGAATGCAGGCTAACTATTGTAGTAAGAGAGATAACTGCAGAAGAAGAGGCAGAGATTGCTAGGCTGAGGGTCCACAACTTTAAGAGACTCACTAAGCGCCAGAAACGACTTGTGCCTCATCAGCTTATTGAGACCAATCCTGTTTGGGGTCGCAAAAACAAATCTAGTGCTCAAAACTTGAGTGCTGCACCTGCATGAGCCTTACTTTTTTCTAAGTTTCCATTTTTTATGGCATTTTTTGTGTAATAGATTCTTGGCCATCACATTCTATATGGAAACTGTTGAGAAATTTATCTGCCCCTTGGTGCAAATAATAGAATTTTGTACTGAACCATGTTAGTATATTTCTCATTTATTAGCTTATTTTCCTTCCTACCGGGTACTACTATAAAGGATGTGTTCTGTTCTATCAGCAGTATGAATCTCCTCTTGTTTTGAGGGGAAGTGTAAACCGATGATTTTTTCTTTTTAAGATAGGGGTATTCTTGCATCATTTACAAGTTGTGCTTTAACTATTTTTTAGCATTTGATGCATTGCATTTATTTGCTAGCATATATATCAATCAACTGAGTTTGGTATCTAATGTTACTTTGATTACATATGTCAAATCTACAATACATGAAATAGAATGACGAGTTTCATATTGTTGTGCTCTAAGAACTTGTTTGAGTATAAAGCTTTTCGAGAGTTTCTTTGTTAAAAACGTAGAATCACTGTATTTGGGATAGAGATTGGCCTAGACAAAAATTGTAATGCAAAAATGAAATAAAAATAAAGTAATAGATACCTGCAACCGGGTTTATTTTATATTTAGAACGTGTTTTATAGTTGAGAAGTTTCAAGTGTCTGATGAATTGGAAATTGCAAAATTAATGGATTAAATTAAACGGATATTGAAAAGTGTGCTGATGATAAAATAACCACACTTAATGGTCTATTACTTGTGAACTTGTGTGGTGCCGGTGCCACACTTTTTTTTTTTGCTAAGAAAAATATTATTTATTGAACACGTGGTATTTTGCTTTTAATTGTTATATTTGTTAACTAGAAAGGTTATTTTATAGCTAATCTTTCAATGAGAAGAAAAAACAATGTATGAACTCGCCTTCGAATAAGTGATTCAAGAATTTTTAAAAATAATTATTACTTATCACGGTATTTTTTTCATCACAATTTTGAAAGAAGAATGCAATCTAACTCTTTTTTCTTTCTTTTTCCAAAAGTTATTTGCAGAAAAATATCTTTTAGATAATTGTTTAGTGAATCGTCATATCAAGTTAAATGGCCATTTCATAAATTCAGATTAAGAAAGTTATATAGTTTTGAAAAATTACGAAGACTAATAGCGTGTTTGTTTTAGCGTTTTCTAACAAATTTTCACGTCTATTCTATCTGAAACGCGGAAGTAAAAACTATTTGCTTCCGATTTGACGTGAAAAATCACGTTATTGACGTGGAAGCAAACACACTATAATATATAAAAAAAAGTAAAAATCACGTTTACAAAAGAAAAACTACAAAGGCCATCATGCATGCATAAATGAATAATTTTAGATCAAATGATTTTGTGACAAGTTACTTACTGAGTTATGGATTAAAAAGAAAAAGGTTACTTACTGAGTTCAATTTGGATTTAATAAATATTGATCACGTTATTCTGTATACCAATAATCACGGTACAAAGTTGACCCTATATCTATCAATTTAGGCTTTAGAATTATCATCAACCCATAATGGCATCTTTAATTTTACCAAAAAAAAAAGGTGAAGTCTTTAATTGTAGAGGCTCTATCAATGTTTAAATAATTGTGCAGTTCAAATAATGGAGTTGTGACTAGCCAAACCAATGCATGTTTGCAAAAACCAAACCGCAGTTGTTACATTACATCACTCTCAAAATGGAAGTATTAAAATCAACTTTTAAGAAGTGTACAAACTAATAATAGAGATGTCTAAAAGGTTGTTATTAACAACGACATTTATCCATTCTTCTTTTATGTTATAAACTATCTACCATATTATTTTATTTTATTTTTCTCTTTTTCTCTTTTATCTATCTTGTTACAGCATGTGAGTGGTGTGTTTGAATATAGTTTTTATTTTGGCTATTATAGACTTGTATATAGTGCAAGTTGGATTTTGGTTCCTTTTGTGCAAGATTTTGTGATGCTTGAATCTTTTTGAACGAAAAAAAGGGGAAAAGATATTCATTTAAAGAGGTTCATCCCACTTGACCTATAAATTTAGTAGAGATTTAAACTAACTTCCAAGCGTTTAAGAACAAATAATATGGATGTTGGTACTTCTGTCCAAATTTCTTACACCACTCGTAAGAAAATAATTCATGAATGCATAAATGAGATTTAACCAAAATAGAAAATAGTCACAATAGTTGAAAGCATATTTACACAATCATTTAATTGGATTTGAATTCCTTTATGTGACATTTTTGTTCGGTAAAATCTCAGTCTTTAATAAAAATAAATAAAAGTTTTAAATAAAAAAATAAAAAGTATGAAATTATGATGATAAAATTTTCACATGAGAATCCAAGTAAAATTTTTATATGAGATGATCATTCTCATTCAATTACAAATACTCGTGTATCGTAAATTTGTTAAGTTTAATAATCACTATATTAAAAATTATATTAACAGTGTCTTTTGATTGATTGTATTATATTAATAACATATTAGTTTTATGCTGATAATGGAAAAAAATCTCCCGAATTTTTAAATATAATTTCAACCATCAAGACATTGATTGCAAACATGTCATCCTCAAAGAGTAGAGTGAGTGACCATTTCACCTTTGCTACCATTTTCCTTCCTAGGAGTAACAATCATCACCAAACCCCCTCCATTGAATGTGAAGAACATTGGGAAAGTGGTGAAGCCTAGTTGGACATAGTTAGACTTAAATGATATGAGAGTAAATTATAAAAATAAAAGTTGATAAAAAAATATTATATATATATATATATATATGTCAACATTTATAACAAAATCTTTACAATTATATATATATTTTTATTATAAAGTCTTATTGATGTTCTAAAAATTTATGAAATGGAATTTATGTAACATTGCTTGATTATTATTCTTTTTGAATCATAATTTTTTTATGTTTAATATTTTTGTATATCTTTTAATAAATAATTAGTACTAACATATTAAATTTAAAATACTTTCATTTAATATCTTGAAATATATAAAATAAGTAATTATAATTAGAATAAAAATATTAATTATCAAATAAAAATATACGTAAAAAAATAATTAATATTACTTGAAATTAATGTGTAAAACATTAAAAAGTTTTGGAACAAAAGAAAAGGTCTGAATGTAAAAAAACTATGGTTCAAAGAGAGTATTTACGATAATAGTAACCAACAAGTTTGGAAGAAAAATTATTTTCAGATTATTGAAAAATAAAAGAAGATGAAGAGTGTTGTGGCATCTATAGCTAATTAAGACAAGAAAAATGAAGAAAATATACGAAGAAATAAATTTTTTTTTGGTGTGTCTAAAATTTGAATATATCTATCTATTTTAGAGTGTTTGTATATTTGTCTCTTTGATAAATGTTGATAAATAGTTTTTAATTCTCAAACTAACTATAACCAGATTAATATAAAGAGAAGGCTTACAAAATCATTTGATTAATCTGTAATTATTAAAATAACAATAATGAAATTTAAAAATAAAATATTATTGAAAAATAATATTTGAATAATTTGTCTAAAAAATACAATAATCTCCATCATGAATTATATAAAAAAAAAATTTACTCACAAAAAGACATTTTGACTACAAAGGAAAAATTGCCAATATGTTTAAAGGATTCATTATAAAACAATAATGAAACTAAAAACTAATTTTCTTTTATTTGGAGCTCCATCATATGAAGGTCAAGAAATCATTTGTATATGATGATATTGAAGAAATGACTTATACAATGGAACCATATAAATCATGGGAGACAAAATTATGACTATTATGAATAATAATTTTTTAAAATATTTAATACAATTATATATAAAATTCAAACTTAAAACACCAGTTAAACTGAAGTAATCTATGCCAAATTATCAACCCACTTTTAAAATTTTTAATTTAGTGTAGGTATTGTTTTAAATATTTTGCGATAAATCATGAAAACAAACTACTACATTATTGTCAATTAAGGAGCCAATTCATCAACCCACTTTTAAATTTTTTTATTCAGGGTAGGTAATGTTTTAAATAGTTTCCAAGAAATCACAAAAACAAACTACATTCATGCCAATTAAGCGGCACTGTAATTCATAAAATAAAGACTTAACTAAAATTTTAATGGTTAAATAATTATGCATTTTATCTCACCAAATCTAGTTACTGGTTAGTATTATATTACAGAAAAAAAATTGCAGAGAAAAGTTAAATTTGTTGTTATAAAATTTATAAATAGTAATAGAATTTTACTGAAGAGAAGTCGAATCATGCCCTTAAAATAAGGGGTAGTGGATCTATAAAAAATTTAGGTCAACCTACTTCAAATTAGACTTGTCATAACCATAAGGCATAAAGTAACTGTTAGATCGAATTCACCAAACTCATGATTTCCATGTCATGTGCTTAGATATTTGCCACCAATCAGCTAAACTATTAAATTCGTTTTTTTTATTCATGATATTAGTTGGAACTTGGAAGTATCTTGTGACTTTAATTTATTTTAATTTTAAGTATTAAAATTATCCTTTCTAACATTTTCTTATCAAATTTAAGCTTTGAATTCAAGACCATTATAAATAATTAAATTGACTAATATACATCAAAATTAATAACTAAAATGGTCGTACTAGTGAAATTGAAATATCAAGTTGGTAAGTCCTTAAAATTACATAAATACTCAAATAATAAATGAAAATCAAATTAAGAATTAAAATTTATTTTCATATTTTAAATATAATTAATAGTTATAATATTAGATAATTTTTAATATTATGATTTAATAATACTAAATATTAAATTAACTAATAATGTTAATAACTTCACATACTAAATTAACTAATACTTATAACACATTAATTTATATGTACTGTGAAGTAATTTGAAATTTCCGCACAGAGCACAAAGGTGAAGCACATTAATTTACACGTGTGACGTTGCCAACCGTACGAACCTCTTCGAAAAGCGAGGACCACTTCACACGTGGCGACTCTATCCACGTCATCATCTTTCGAAAGTAATGATCTTGTTTCATTTACCTTCAATCACGAAATGAAGTCCGTTTGATATAAATTTATTAAAAATAGATTTCAATATATAATTCTTACTTTTAATATTTAAGATAATTAATAATTTTATTTGGACATAAAGTAAATCTATCTTTAAAATATAAGTAATTTGTTAAAATTATAAAAATATTTATATTCAAAATTAATTTTACTCATGTGAGATTAAAATTTTACTTTCAACTTAAAAAAAATTACTTTCCGTTATTAAAATTATTTTTAAGATCTACATTTGTTAGTCTAACTAGTATTATAGTTGATTCTCAAATATTAAAGTCTTGAGTTCAAGTCTTAAAGATATGTTTTTAGTTTTTTTTTTTTGGTAAAATTATTTCTAAAAATATCAACATAACATATTATTTTTATTTAAAATCTAATTTAAATCAATCAATATGATTGTGTAATGACCCGTTAGATCATAATACTTAACGACATATTTGCTAACAACGGAAAAATATAGAATTATAATCGACTAGAATTAACATACTATTAATACTTAGATATACATGTATAATTAAAAGTTTATCAACTACTAAACCATATACAATGTACATGTCTATATAGTAATCCGATACTAAAGTATGAAAGAAATTATAATCATCAATCAAGCAAGACTACTAACAATTGGCCACATTAGGATAGCTTTTAAAGATCCACACCACTATTGTCTAACATGGCCTCAAACACAAGCTCCAATAGTAATTTATTTTTGTCTTACTCTCATACCAAGTATGATCATCACGGTCTAATTACATAGAAACATACAAGGGTAAACTAGTATCAAAAGAATCAACGTAATCAGTATAGAAGTAAAAACAATTATACAATCAACATAAACAACTCAACATAAGTCAATACAATATCAACTTACAATTTTTTTAACACAATACAACATGTTATTCAACTTGAACAACACAACAACAACACTTCAATGCAACTTATCACTATTTAGCATGGCATATGAAAATATAACTAAGTCAACACATCATATGCACAACACAATAATTGTATGTGTCGTCACACATTTCAATTAAGAAATTTCCTACAATACACATGAGTAATTTCAGTGGTTTGACCCTATCGAACCAACAATCCAATCTTTTCAATCTAGCTAGATCAATAGAAAATTGGGATACTAATTCCTAACAACATGATTTCTTAGATGTCACTTGGACCAAGAAGTCTAATATTTATGTTAGGGTAGAATAGTTTGGGTGTGAGTCTATCATGATATTAACTAACATAACTAATCTATCTATGGGATAAAAACCTTCAATCACGATATAAAGTCTGTTTGATATAAACTTATTAAAAATAGTTTTCAATATATAAATCTTACTTTTAATATTTAAGAAAATTAATAATTTTATTTGGACATAAAGTAAATCTATCTATAAAATATAAGTAATTTGTTAAAATTATATAAATTTTTATATTCAAAATTAATTTTACTCATGTAAAATTAAAATTATTTACTTTCAACTTAAAAAAAATTACTTTCTGTTATTAAAATTATTTTTAAGATCTACATTCGTTAGTCTAACTAGTATTATAGTTGATTCTCAAATATTAAAGTTTTGAGTTCAAGTCTTAAACATATGATTTTACTTTTTTTTTTTTGGTAAAATTATTTCTAAAAATATCAACATAACATATTATTTTTATTTAAAATCTAATTTAAACCAATCAATATGATTATGTAATGACATGTTAGATTATAATACTTAACGACATATTTGCTAACAACGGAAAAATATAGAACTATAATCGACTAGAATTAATATAATACTAATACTTGGATATACATGTACAATTAAAAGTTTATCAACTACTAAAGCATATACAATGTACACATATCTATATAGTAATTTGATACTAAAGTATGAAAGAAATTATAATTGTCAATCAAGCAAGACTATTAACAATGGCCACATTAGGATAGCTCAAAAGATCCACACCATTATTGTCTAACATGGCCTAAAACAGAAGCTCCAATAGTCACTTATTCCTGCCTTACCCTCATACCAATTATGATCATCGCGGTCTAATCATGTAGAAACATGAAAGGGTAAACTAGTATCAAAAGAATCAACATAATCAGTATAAAAGTAAAAACAACTATACAATTAACATAAACAACTCAACATAATTCAATACAATATCAACTTACAAATTTTTTCAACACAATACATGTTATTCAACTTAAACAACACAACAACAACACTTCAATGCAACTCATCACTATTTAGCATGGCATATGAAAATACAACTAAGTCAACACATCATATGCACAACACAACAATTGTATGTGTCGTCACACATTTCAACTAGGAGATTTCCTACAATACACATGAGTAATTTCAGTGGTTTGACCATATCAAACCAACAACCCAATCTTTTCAATCTAGCTAGATCAATAGCAAATTCGGATACTAATTCCTAACAACATGATTTCTTAGATGTTATCATTTGGACTAAGAAGTCTAATATTTATGTTAGGGTAGAATAGTTTGGGTGTGAGTTTATCATGATATTAACTAACATAACTAAGCTATCTATGAGATTAATCCGTCAACTACCCTCTAAATAATACGTCCTTCCAATACTAAGTTAGAGATTTTGGTCATCATCTTTCTATCGTACTTTGATTTGGTTGCTTTATATACGTATGCTTTGACCTTACCCACATACAAATCAACATTGATCGAATAGTCGATATGCCTCAAACTGACCCATATATCACATCAACTAAGATTTTAGAGGAGACCCAACTATTCACTTCAAGGATCAACTTTTGAAGAAGGATTTTCCAACAAACTAGGCTTTTGGAGTACCACAACATAATATCCTCATAATGTAATATGCAACTTTAAAAACAAATTTTCCTTTGATTCTATGTCGATCAATATAGTTCAACTTTAATACCAAAACATTCTCAATACACCTACTCAACTTTAAATAGGAGTTTTTCTTCAACGAGAATGTTTTTAGAGATTTTTTTAATTTCATATTTAATTTAATTTTTAGTTATCACAAATATTTATGAATTAAATTTAATATTTTTAAAATAAATTATCATTAAATAAAAATAATTTTATGCTACAATATAAATTATTTATCATAAATTTTAAAAATAAATTATATATTTTAAAATATCTATTTATTCAAATTTTATATATAATTTATATATTTAAACATAATATATATTTATATTCATAATTTTTTTAATTTTATTTATTTTATATAATAAACTTTTAATATGTTCATTTATATTGTACATGCTAAATACTAGTTTTTCTTTATTTATGTTATATCTCTTTTTCTTATTGTCAATTTCCTTCCTCTTTCATTTATTTAATTTTTAAAATACATAAATAAAAACAATTTTTAATTTTTCTATATTTTATTTTATTTTCATAATTAATTTTTTTATATAAAGTAATATTATTTATAGAAAGATTAATATATTCAACAATATATTTTAAAAGTGGTACATACTACATAACATTTATTCTCATTTTGAATTTTTCTCTTTTAATTGTTTGGCTTGATGGTCCTCTGATATCTTCTTAGTACACTTTGAATATATTTATCACCATATTTACAATATTAACTTATTATCTATTTTATTGTGTAAATATTCAAGTCATAATTACTTGATTAAAATGAAATTATGACAAGTAGAACATGAAAATAATGTATCCTACACAAACTTAACAGGTACACTATTGGCATCAACTATAAAATAATATGGATTGTGTCTTTATATTTCATACACCGATAAGATTGCTACATCCTTTTTCTCAATTAAACGTGGGTACTTTCATAAATTTTGCTCACAATTATTATTTGATAACATGTGTATTTGTTTGTAATCCTATTTCTCAATTAAATGTGGGTACTCTCATAAATTTTGCTCACAATTATTATTTGATAATATGATTTTAAAGGATGTTGATGAGTATTTCATATATTTTCAAGTTAAAATATTTTGGTTATTCTTAGTTAACAATTTAAAGATTTAAAGTTTGGAAACATATAAAAATCAAGCATTGACACCCACAATTATAGAGGAATCTAACACATCTAAAATGCATTGTAGTTGTCTTTTACTCCATAAATTATTTCTTATCAATGTGTTGTTGTTGTGGCTTACTTATCAAAGTCAAGTTACTAGAATTTATATTTTACTTTGAATATTATAAATAATTTTTTTAGTCCTCACTTTTATACACAATATATTAAAAGGATACACACACACATATATATATATATATATATATATATATATATATTATTTATAATCATTAAATTAAATACATATTATTATGTAAGCAGATATCTCACTTGTACGAAGACACGACGAAACTAAAGTGACATTGAAATATAATTTCAAAAACTAACGTAATATTGTGTTATAATTTCAAATATTAAAATAATATTGTGTTATAATCATTGGTCATATAATACATATACATCTCATGTCATTATCGTTTCTATTTAAGAAAACAAAAATTATTTAACAAAAAAATTTAAATAAGTAACATATTACATTTTTAAGAACTTTTTTTTTAAGTTTCACGAGATTTAAGGATAAAATTGAGAATGCTATATAATTTTAAGAATTAATTTGACCATTTAATTATTTATTTTCATTATTTTTTTTATTTGTTACAAGATTTGTTTTTATTACTAAAATTAGTTAGATTTTTAAATTCAGGGAAGGATATTGTATATGTGACCTTATACATTATAATTTCTTAATAAAAACAAATTTGGAGAATTTCGTACTCATTCAAAATTTACCAAATCCCAACGGTCGCAATGTCTGTCCAAAGATAAATCATGACGGCTGGATTCCGAAACCTGCTCGACCTTTAAGCCATATTGGTCGAAGTATAAGCTCCCTTCCTGCGTTGACAGTGTAAAATAATACCTTTTACAGAGAGAATCTTCCTCTTCGAGCGAGTCTGACATATTATCTTCCATTTCTAGAGAGAGAAAGCTTCAAACTTGATTTCATTTTTGAACTGTGAAGTGAAGCTGTTAATGTTTTTATACTGCACTTCGTGAATGTATTATTTTGTTTAAGCTTGTTTACTTCTTAGGCATAGTTGGGTGTTTTTATATATTTTTTTTCTTACGGCATTTGACTCTAGGTGAAAGGTTTTTCTGTTTTCCCACATTTTTTTTATAGATATATATGGTTATTAAATGATATTTTGAGCCTTTTGTGTCTGTTTCTCAATTATGTAGCAGAAACTGTTTCTGGGTGTTTCTGATTCTGAGGAACCTGTGTCTGGTTAGTTAATAGTCTTAGTTGTCTTCTGAGCATGAAAGCTGCGGTTTTGCGGAAGATCAGGGTTTGTTTTGATTGCTGATTCTGGAAGCATTAAATTTACATGAGTTAACATTGTTGAGAGTTGTCAAAGCAAAGTCTTGGGGTGGTTAGGTGGTTATCTTTGAGGCATTTCTGTGTCACTACATTAGTGTGTGTCTGAGTCATAGAGTGTGTGATTGTTCTTGTGATGTTTGAAGATTAAGCCACAACAACTTGCTTAAAAGGTTGGTTGGTCCATATTTTATTTTAAAATTTTTATATTTGGGTTTGTTGCTTTGATTTGATCTCCTACTTCTGGAAAGTAAAGTAGTGTTCTGTGTTTCCTTTTTTGTTTTTGTGAATATTGGGTTTTGTTTTATCTCTAGGTAGATATCATGGAACATGGGGTCTCTTAACTGTTTTTGGCTTTACAGAAACATCGGATATTTTGGAGAACAAGGCTGTTTTGTGCATCATGATCCAATGGCTCCCAACAGGATAAACTCTTTGAATATTGAGCTAGTCAATTAACTTGATTTGAGGTATATATTATATTAGTTTTTTAAAAAAATCATGTATATTTTTTCTGGTGATGGATCATTGTACGAAATTGCGTGTATACAACTGTAGATTGAGACTTGTGTCTTCCCTTCAAAGGAAGGCCTCTCCCTTTCTCATACCAGTAGCCTCATTTATGAGGGTAAACACAGCTAAGACTTCTCTTAAGAACAATCCTTGACCGTTGATATCGGTCAGAATCTCTCTTCTCTCTAGATTCATCTTTTACACTCTCACTACAACCAATCTTTTTCCATCATGGTTGAAAAGTAAAGTTAGGGGTGTTATTTCTGATTGACAAATATACCCCTATAAAGGATGCCTTATTTCAATTGTACCATGTGTTAGGTGTGTCTTTTGTAGGGGTGTTTTTGGTTGTGTCTAAAATATCTGCCGACGGCTTCTTTATTGTTTGCCGTTAAAAGTATTTTCCTTCACTTTCATCAACAGCAATATTTCATCAACCATGGTTTAGTTGTAATGATAATGTTAAATTTATAATAAAGTTTAATATATGCTTGTGATTTTTCAAGGGCATTGAATAGTCGCTCTTGCTAAAGTGAGAGAAAAGACTAGTGGGGTATGTTTTAGTACTTCAGTTTTGTTGGTCGAGTCATGCTTTTCAGTAAACAAGCTTTGTGTGATCATAGGAGATTCTCGAAGTTGTTGGGTGTATTGGGGTGGTTGTTTTTTTGTGCCTCAGAGTTTTCTATTGGAGTCTTAATTTATAATTTACGGATTATATGATTGCAACTGCTCCACCACAGCCTTTTAATTTTCTATGCTTGATATCATTTTTCTATTTACGAATTGGTATCTGGGGCATTTCTTTGAAGGCTTGGTTTTCTTGTGTTCCATTTGTGGCAGCTAATCATCGATTCTGTGCCTACCAAATTGAAATCATGGTGGAAGATGGTGATGAGGTTGTGGTTGATGAACGTTCCACAGAAGACTGGTTGTTGCATGCACAGGAACTTGTTCCTGTTGCCCTTGAAAAGGCAAGAGAGGTTAAGGGATTTGCTGGTAGATGGAAGATGATCATTGCAAAATTGGAACAGATCCCGTTGCGGTTATCAGATTTGTCAAGCCATCCATGCTTCTCAAGGAATGCTCTTTGTAAGGAGCAGTTGCAGGCTGTGTCGAAGACACTCAGGGAAGCAATTGAATTGGCCAAGTTGTGCATGAAGGAGAAGTATGAGGGTAAGCTTCGGATGCAGAGCGATCTAGATGCATTGGCCGGGAAGCTTGAATTGAATTTGAGGGATTGTGGGCTTTTGATCAAGACTGGTGTGCTTGGTGAGGCTACTTTACCATTGCCTGTGTCTAGTTCTGTGGCAGAATCAGATGTTGCAACACACAACAACATAAGGGAATTGCTGGCACGCCTTCAGATCGGGCACTTGGAAGCAAAGCACAGAGCTTTAGACTGCGTGGTTGAGGCCATGAAGGAAGACGAAAAGAATGTTTTAGCCGTTCTTGGCCGGAGCAACATTGCTGCTATGGTTCAATTGCTTACAGCTACCTCTCCCAGGATAAGAGAGAAAACAGTTACTGTTATATGCTCGCTTGCAGAATCTGGAAGCTGTGAAAATTGGTTAGTTTCTGAAGGAGTTCTTCCGCCTCTTATACGGCTTGTTGAATCAGGCAGTGCGGTGGGGAAAGAGAAGGCCACAATATCCCTTCAGAGGTTGTCGATGTCAGTGGAAACAGCCCGAGCAATTGTGGGACATGGTGGGGTTCATCCACTGGTTGAACTTTGTCAAACTGGTGATTCTGTGTCACAGGCTGCGGCTGCGTGTACTCTGAAGAACATATCAGCTGTTCCTGAGGTGAGACAAGCTTTGGCTGAAGCAGGGATTGTGAGGGTTATGATCAATCTGCTTAACTGTGGAATTCTGTTGGGTTCCAAAGAGCATGCAGCAGAGTGCTTGCAGAACCTCACTGCGAGCAACGAGAATCTAAGGAAGAGTGTTATATCAGAAGGTGGTGTTAGGAGTCTTCTGGCTTATCTTGATGGTCCACTTCCTCAGGAATCTGCGGTCGGAGCATTAAGGAATTTGGTTGGATCAGTTCCTGAGGAATCATTAGTTTCTCTTGGTTTGATCCCCCGTTTGGTTCACGTGTTGAAGTCCGGATCCTTAGGCGCTCAGCAAGCTGCTGCGGCTGCAATATGTCGGGTTTGCAGCTCCTCAGATATGAAGAAAATGGTTGGTGAAGCTGGTTGCATCCCTCTACTTGTGAAGATGCTTGAGGCCAAGTCAAATAGTGCTAGAGAGGTTGCTGCTCAAGCAATTGCAAGCTTGATGATTGTGTCTCAGAATAAAAGAGAAGTGAAGAAGGATGATAAAAGCGTGCCAAACTTAGTACAGTTGCTTGATCCAAGTCCTCAGAACACTGCAAAAAAGTACGCAGTTACTTGCCTTGGGTCACTCTCCTCAAGTAAGAAATGTAAGAAGCTAATGATCTCATATGGGGCAATTGGATATCTGAAGAAACTTACTGAGATGGACATTCCCGGAGCTAAGAAGCTACATGAGAGGTTGGAAAGAGGGAAATTAAGAAGTTTGTTTAACAAGAAATAGAGGAAAAAATTGTTTACTTCCTTTTTGTATCAAGAAGCAAAATGCTAAGTTGCAAACTGGAATGAACTAGTTTGCTAATCTATGTATTATAATCAGTCTTAGATTTATATTATAAATATTTAAACTTTGTGTATTCTCTCTCTCACTTGTTTTCTTCCCGAAATTCTTATGGGAATTCGAATAATAAGTTAAATCTACATGTTTTGCTATTATTTGAATTATATAATCATGTGAACATTTCAAACTCGAATAGATTCTCTTGTCTTCACACAGTGATTTCTAATTGTTATTCATTGGTCGCATGGTGAATCTATATAAATTGCAAGCAATGCCGGATTATATTATAATTGTAAATAATTAAACTTTCTGTATCCTCTGTCTGTATGAATGTGTTTTCTGCATCCTCAATGTTAATGCTAATCAGTCTTCTTTCAGAGATCACACTTTTCATGGTCATCAAGTTGATCTCTATTATCTCCAATTAAGATGAGATCATCGACATATATTATAAGTGGGTGATTTCCCAGCGATCATTCCCTATCTTGTATCCCTTGAACAGCTCATTTTCTGCAGCATTTTTTTATTAATCCACAAAGACCCTCAATTACTGTTAAAGAAAAAAAAAAATGGAGACAATGGGTCACCTCGTCTTAATCCTCACAAGAGAGAAAATTGCTTTACTTAAACAAGGACAGAACATGATGCAGTTGAGATACACTCCTATATGCAGGATCTCCCTTTATTTAGAGTTTAAATACATGCTTAGAAGAATTTTGTAGAATTTTTTTTATTATTTTTTTATTTTTCAGTAGAGAAATATTAAAAAATTATTTTAATAACTTATTTAGATAGAAGCTAGAAGTGTTTTTTTTAGAACTTATCTACTGAAAATTAAGAATTATTTTTAATAGAAAAACTTTCAAAAACACTTCTAGACTTGTATAAAAAGAGACCAACTAACTCTTATTAATCTTTATTTATGTTGCTTGTGTTTAAATATGAATCATTAATAACATGAATTGAAAATGTCAAAAGATTGGTACAAAACTCATGAAGATTCTTGATGAAAATTATGAAACACATTCAACAAAATTTAAAATAGTATTATCTTTTAAAAGAACAATGTTTTATAATTGTTAGCGTTTTAATACTTTCAATAGAGTGAAGAAAGGATACAAAATACAACATAATAAAAATATTCAAGTAAGACATCTTTAAAATACAAAAGATCATAGAAGAAATGTCAATAATCTTCACATGTCCTAAATAAGCGATTTTCATGATAATTAAGACGTTCAATGATAAATGTGCTTTAGGATATTTAGGAGAGTGAATGAATACCAACAAAGATGTGAGAGTATAAAAAATATACCACCAGAGAATTTACAAGTGAATAAGACTTTGTCTTTTTAAGAAAACAAATTAAGAAATATCAACAATATCCATTTGTCCAAAATAAGCAATATCCAAGGGTATTGTCACAAAAAAGGAATATGAACTGAATATTGTGGAAGAAAATATGCACAAATGTTTTGATGATGCTAAAGTGATTATAAAGCATTGAAGAAGAATTAAGGTTGAGCTAAAGCAAGTTGATGCAAGAACAAGATCTCAAGTATTACATAGATAAGTCTTGTCAACTTAGCTAAGAATGTAAAAGAATCTTTTAGAATTGTAAGTATGCTTAGCCTTAAGAATAAGTTTTCAAAAATCTCAAATTAATCTCTTTAAATTTAAGCAAGTTTTAAATATTTTGAAAGTAAGTAAAAATATTTTTGAAAGACTTAACAAAAGCTTTAAAGAATAGTTCAAATCATTTTTTAAAAGAGATTTATGAAAGAAATTATTGATATGAAGTTTTCTACATAAAAGTTTTTGAAACAATGCAAAAATATGTTCTGGTAATCCATTACCAGACCTTGTAATTCATTACCAGAACAAGGAAACTTTGAAGTTCATATTTTGAATACAAAATGTGTTTTGGTAATCGATTACCAGACCTTGTAATCGATTACCAGACCTTGTAATCGATTACCAGTTGGTAATCGATTACTAGAAGATGAAACTTTAAAATTTAAATTTAAATGATACAAAATTTCAAACATTTTGAACTTATAAACCGTTGTAATCGATTACCAAGTCTTGTAATCGATTACCAGAGTATCTTTTTTGAAAAATTATAAAGAGTTACAACTCTTCATGAAAAGACACAACCCAAGAAATAATTGTCTATAAATACCTATAATTTTTCAGAAGAAGGTTACGAACTCAAATGTAAATCTATTAAAAAAACTCCTTGGCCAAAGTCATTTGCAAAAATCTCTAAAGAGTTCTTTAAGATCATCAAAGTGTAAAATCTACTCTTCAAAGAGAGTTACCACATTATACTCAATTGATCATTTGATTTGTATAGGAGAAAAGGTTTTTCTCCTTGTTAGTTTTTGAATTTCAACACAAGGAAAGGGAGTTCCAAGGTGTTGGAGGATTCAAGTTTTGTAAGAGTTACAAGAATAGTGAAAATCTCAAGTGGTAGACTTGAGGACTAGATGTAGGCAGGATTGGCCGAACTAGTATAAATTGAATTTGTAATTCTTTTTTCCATATACACTTTTTAATTACTTGTTATTAATTATGATTGAGTAGTTTGCATCATCATTTATTCTTTACATATAAATTTATTTAAGGAATTGAATTTTTAAGAAAGTAATTCGAAAAAGTTTTATAAGAGAAAAATTTAGAAAACTTAATTCACTTCCCCTCTTAAGTTATACGAGACTATTTGACTTATAAATATCAATGGATAGTGGGAACCGGAAAGGTAGAAGTGAGAAGGATTATGTGTTAACATTGTGTGTAATTAGCTTTTAAATAAACAATGTGTGGTTTGTTAGTTTAGTAGAGATAATTATAATAGAAAGTAAAAGGTTTAAAATATTGACACGTAAGCGAATTAGCTGATGTGACAAATAAGTATACGTTGATATGCTAGTAAGGTTTCATAGCTTAGCTTCTTATATCTATTTATAATATAAAATCTAAACTACTCTTTATTACGTTGACACGTTAATTTAAAATATATCTAAAATATTTCATATCAACAAAATATTTTACATGTTATTGTATAATATATTTCTCATTCTAATATATTTCCATAGCTACAACAAACCTTATATTTCTATAGCCATAAAGCCTAAATACTTGAAGCACCACCTATAGCTCCATAACTCCTCTACTTACGATAATTGCAATTCATCACCTCCATCATCTCTCACCATCTACCGACCTCCTCCATACCCATCTTCCAAATCCTTCAAATATTCACCAACTACAATTTCTTTGTTGAAGCCAAAATCACGACGATCATTCCTTCATCGCATCTATTAGCCCTGGTCACCTCCCTACCTCATAAATCCTCCAAACACTCACTAGTCCACTCCTCCATTATCACATATCATTACGTGTCTAAATACTAATTTTTAGGTAGTCTTTTTTTTTTTTTTCTCTCTCCATTATATTCTTAATTTGATTGCACTTATGATTTGAGATTTGATAACTCATTTTGTAAACTAACGAAACATTGTTTTTCTACTGTGAAATCTATATATATTTTTTTATTTATGATTTGTTTCGATTGATATATGAATATTTATTTTCTATAAAATCAAATGTTACTGAAAATCAACAAATACTTCAAATCAAATAATTCGATAGAGACTTTACTGTTGTGATTTTCGATGATACAAACATATAAGTATATTCAAGAAATTGAGACAGTTGATATACAAGTACTAGGTAGTTTTTTTGTCTAACTATATTCTTAAATTGTTTCCTCTCACATATTTTGATAAGCGAAAGAATATTTTTATATTATGAAATCAATTTTTTGATGTTTTGTTTGATAGCCATTTGAGCCTTTATTTCTCTCACGATTTTTCACAATACATGTTTCATGAAATTTTAAAATTGAGAGTAACTAAAGTGATTCTTTCTATTTTATTTTCATTGTTCCAAAGGAAAACCAAATGTGATTGAGTGTCAATGAATTCAAAAATTCCTATCAAATTTTTTTTTTCTTTTTTAGTCAAAACATTTAAATTTCATAATATTTTTGATCAAAACATTTAAGTTTCATAATATATATATATATATATATAGAGATTCTCATTCAAAACATATCTCCAATATACATATATATATATATATATATATATATTCCTTCTATTATCTTCTTGCATCACTCTTTTTTGAAATTTTTTTCTCTTAAAGAGTTAAAATATGTATTTTTATTTAATTTTTAGTTAATTAAAATTTTGAATTTTTATAAAATTATAATTGTAATAGCTGTGTTAAGTAATATTTTCATAAATAATTAGTATTAAATAAATAATAATTGAAAATTATATTTAATTAATAAATATATTATTGATTATCTTAATTTTAAATTAAGAGACTAAATTTAATAAAAATAATAGTTATAGAAAAATAATAAATAACAAATAAATATTATTAATTATAAATTTATATCAAAATTTTGATTATCATTATAAATAGTATTGAGTAATTTGAAATTATATTAAGTCTATATATATATATATATATTAATAATTATATCAATGTGCAATTGAGAGATTGAATTTAATTAAAATATTGATTATAGTAATTAAAAGTACGTGTTGGCAATGAGGACTGAAATTCCCTATATGGAATCCATAGAAACTAAAAAAGAAAAAGGTTTAGGGTATGAATCAATTGAGTATAAGAGAGTATGTTTGAGAGAATTTTACATTGTATTACCTCGTTGTGGTTCATGTTGTCATATCTTAATTTGTAGCCAAGTAAGTCTCCATGGGGCGTGCCTGAAAATCTTAGCCCTCTTCCTAACCACCTAAAACATTTGTACATTGATAAAATTTTAGGTAAAATATTTTAGTTGTTCGATGTATTAAAGTGGTATAAAAATTAATCCATACCTTGATGCTAGCGGAAATGTAATATCTCGTTGGACTCTTGGTTGGATGGAGGGCATGTGATACCAAGCCCAAGACTGTAGAAGCAAAGAACATCCACCCATTTTCTTTGACGATGGATAGATTGCCCTACACATTTCTCTGTACAAATGTGCCAAACAAGCATAACCCTAACTAT